AAGGTCTAAACTTGACAGCTAAACTTTGATATTTGATATTCCTTACATATGCAAGGCCAGTGTCCCGAATCTGCCAGATGGGCTTGCTTTGGTGGTATCTCTTGGCGAAGACGAAAGAGCTTCTGGCAGCAGAAAGGCCTAGGCTGCGCAGGCTTTCAGCCCTGTGTTCCTCCAGTTTAATGGGGCTGTGTCGAGAAAAGGGCTAAAGAGATGATGCTGAAATTACCATGGAAAGAGTTTTGCTTTCAGTCGCTGAGATACATTTTCTGATGGGCTTCTTTTCTCCTAATCCAGTTTTCTTCACCACCATCGTAGGCTCAGTGCATGTGTGCTTTTTGCATACTAATATTCTGCAGGTTCCCCGGGGAATGTGTTGATTCTGGATAAGACTTTGCGATTAGTTTCCAGAGGAACCTGTAGCTGTTTGAACCGGCTTCTTGCCCCGTCAGCATCACCTAGTGTAGGGGTTGTGCGTGGAGTTGGTGACTGAGCTCCACTGACTCCACCTTCGCCTCCATTACACATTTTTAAACTATTTGCCCATGTATTTTTACTCCTCAAAATGTCACCAGCTAATTATCGGTTTTAAAGGGGTGTTAATATTCTTCATAAAAATGATGGCAAACAGCGCAACAGTATTTTTTTCCTGTTTAAATTCAAACATATATGAGGATTTGGCATATAAATGCCTTAAGAAGGCAAGATGAGGTTTCGACATGCAAAGTTAATGTTGCTCACTTCTACATGACATTCATGATGCTGATCTTTACTGTAGTACACGATCACCTGCTCCTTTCCCATTAAGTAAAATAAAGACATTTAAACTTGAGTGAGTCCATTTTTAGCTCTAACAACAATAGTTTCCTCTGTAGTTTAAAAAAATCACAGAGAGAGAGAATGAGAGAGAGAGAGAGAGAGAGAGATTATCCATTATCACTCTCACCGAGTACCATTTAGTCCTGCAGCTGACTATCGTCTCCTTTGGAGATACTGGAAGGGGACACACTCTGATCTTTCTGGCATTAAAGAATAAGCTTGGAATCTAAACCATGTATGCCAGTTAGATACCCAACAAGCATCAAAATGTAGTGGGGGTTGGGTGTTTGACTCCCTTCAGCTCCTTCTGAGAACACTGCTTGATGAATTCTGCCTAATACCCATAATTTCTGCCTAATGGGAATACTTCTTAGTTCAAGACTTTGCCCACCTTTTCTTTTTCTCCCTTGGCTCTTGATTTCTTTATCTCCAGTTTGTCTTTGGTCATGAAATGCAATTTTATTTCAAGCTACCTTATACCTGTGCCCTGCTCTGGCAAGTCCACAGATGCATTTTGGGCCAAATTCTGGTTGCCTTAGGTTTACAGTCAGCTGGATTTCTGGTGTGCAAGGCAAGTATGATTGTGTGTCCTCCGTGTACAGTCATGGAGATGATGAGCGGTTCTGATATGTTAGTACTAATCCCCAGATCACTGGATCTTCTCTACCAGAAGCTACAATGTGGAAATGGCACACTTGGACTGGAGCAGTACAAGTTCTGGCCCCAAGTCTCCGGTATATCAGTTGCTTTGCTGCGATACCTTTGGGCAAAGCTGTTTGACCATATCATAAACAACTTGCTTTAAGACTGGAGCACATACTGTTTACTGTATAATCCTATCTAAATGCTCCTTTTTTTTTCTAGAGTAAAGATTAAAGAACAGAATTACATTGGAACCGGTGAAGGCATGATCCATGCCCCCTTGATTATATGGAAACATTAAAATATCATCAGCATGTTAATTTTATCATCTGAACTGTATGAGATTTATTCATCTCTCTTATCTATTACATTAGTCTGGAAATACAATTTATTCTGATGGTGGGAATGTCAGACAGAGAGACCAAAAACATCTGGACTTCTTAATATGAAACAAATTTTCTAGGATGTATATTGTCACTTTAAAATTAATTCCCCTAATAAGGAGGCAGAAATCTCATAGCCTATTGATCTTTCAAAATAAGGCCCCAACTCTTTACTGGGATAAGACAGGTAGATCCTAGGAAGGTTCCCTGAGGATTTGTAGTTCACTTATCTTCTGTTACATTTTTGAATATCAAATACAATAGATTATTTCAGCATGCTAATATAAAATACACAGCAGCAGATAAAACCCAGCCATTGCAAACTAGAGGATTAATAAAAATCAATGAAAATTCCCCAAGAAAAACAACATATCTTAAACATTTTCCAAGTCTGAATTGGTGGATTTTCTTTCTAAACATGTAAAATCAATATTAATTAAAACCAACCATAAGGAAACCCTAGCCCACTGAAAGACAGTTTTCATTTAAAAAATATATTGTATTACCCAGGCTAGATTATCGCAGCACCCTTTCAGACACGGAGCAGAGGCAGTAACGTTTCTCCTCCCTCTTCATTTTTGTGTAAGCTTGAACTGGGAAGCGCGTGGAAGTGGCGAGACGTACCTGCAGCTCGGTGCCTGCCCGACCCTCTCCCAGTCCAATTTTACTTGGAGCACCGAGAAAGAAAGCAGACGAGCGCTCTCTAATTCCAAATCTCTTCCAGACTGCTCCAGGACGGCTGCATTTATACGCAAAAAGTTCCGGACTAGCCCACAGCAATAACTTGATAATTGTTCTGGGAAGACTCTCAGCAGAGCTATCTTATGCACAAGTAAACAGGCATCTGTAAGATTAAGAATTATATGCCAGGGCTTTGACACGACCATCAGTTATGCCAGATGCAAATAATTTATTCTTTGTCAGTTCAAATATACAATCTTGTGTGGATAGCTTAAATTTATACTGGCACCAAAATACGGCGAGCGATATTATTTAAGTGTGGCATTGAAGCCACAGATATGCATCTCTGGTGACCCAAAAAGTGGAAGAAGAATATTAGTTATATTTTCTGAGAGTAACTCATCATTGTTATGTAATAATAGCTGATGTCATAATAGCTGATGTAATAACTTGGCACTGTTGTGCAAGAATATAACATCAGCTATTAGGGGCTCTAGCCTGCCCTCACAGACACCATACTCAGGCATCTGCAGGTGCCATTGCTCTCACTGTGATTTGGCCTCATAACAGCCAAACGTTAGCAAGGGGGATTGACTACTGTGTTTTTATTGCTGCACCATATTTCTTTAACTGTCAGAATACTCACATTGCACATAACTGCAAAGAAGGGCAGTGTGCTTTTCTTAAAAGTGCCTGGTGAAACACTGACTTTGGCTATTCCTTTTCCTGGGTAATGGACCCTTTCCCACCCTCAAAATTTCACTTAATTCTGTTGTGCGATGGAGCTAAAAAATGTCCTCTTTTATTTTGACTTTCCTTATTTCATTTTGGGGTTTTAGCAGCTGAAAATGCTGTCTTACTTCCATTTTAGCTTTTGCATATTGGGGGACCTGAAGTGGCCTGTGACATTTAATATAAAATCGTAAAACATTTAGTTGAGACTTTCCAAAGAAGAGAAAAGCACATATAGGAAAAGCACGAGGGCGGCTGCTATTGCAGAACTTCACTTTTGACAGGATGAGGCTGCGTGAGACACTCAGTTTGCTAAGAAGCTGCTCAGGCTTTACCTTTGCAAAACAGGAAAAAAATACAGATTCAGTTCAGTGAGGATGAATCCAAACACTTAACTTTGTGCACAGAGAGTAGTCCGGCGTATAAAGTTACATGAGAGTCTAAGTATTTTCAAGATTAAGGCCTTTAGCTTTAAATAGTATCTTAAACATTTAGTTCATGTTTGGTGAGACTGTCAAATTATTTGTTCCTGCACCATTGGCTGAAAATTCTGCTCATTTTATAGGACTGAGCTTACATGGATTTACTGGACAACAGAATAAGTGAAATTTAAGACACGCATCTTAAGCTGAGTTCATAACAGCCCACATTTCCAATAACAAAACTAGCGGTGACAGTGATATATGGCTTTTTTTATGAGACCTGATAACTGATGGATATGTGATCTTATAAATGCTTAGACAAACTAATGCACATAATTATATTTTCCATTTGAAGTCTATTGCTAGGCATTCTAATACAATATCATTAGTCGAAATGGCCACAATGATACAGCTTGGGCAGTTTGTCACAGTAATTACAGAGTGATTATTTTTGACTGGAATAAAGATTTCAGTTTTAGTATGGTAGAAAGCATAATCACAAATTAGAAACAGTCTCAGAATAAAAAAATGTCAGGGATAGGGACTTTAAATATGGATTATAGTGTAATTCTAAAACAATTTCTTTAAAAAGTGTACTCATTTGGCAGAATGTGTGATTTCTTTCAGGTTTATACCAAGTTCCTGCCCAAAAGGATGACACTTACCTAATTAACAGTTCCATTGTTTAAGAATTTTATAAAAGGGAAAATTTGGGCATGGTAAGCAAGGTTTATGTTATAATTTACATAACTGCTAAAATAGGCTTTCTTTCTTCAATCGACAAAAAAATAGATCATTTGTCTTCACTGTTTTCGGGATGGTTGATTAAAGTAGACAGTGTCCTAACATCTGTATTGAAAACTATATTAATCAATTGATTAATCATGAGACATTAATCAAAATCTTCCTTAAGTGTTTTAGTTTTGGAGCAGCTCTTAGTATTTTCTATCAGATTCCTTTTAAGGTGTCCATTATAAAGATTAAATTTGGGTGGTAAATATTGAGGGGCTGAGGCACATGTGGCTTTCCACTTGAAGGTCACAGCCATTGCTCATTAGTGTTACTTTTAATGGGATAAGAAGCAAAAGTTTTTAATATGTGACTACATCAATTAATCAAATACACATTTGATTTCTTTTCCAGTAAGCAGTCCATATTTTCTGCGTGTACAAAGAAATTCGTGGTGTTCTACAGCCGCGGGTACTTCAGGCTACGCTGAAGAACAGTCCATGTATTTAAGGCATTTAAAGTGTACGTATGGACATAATGAACTGATGCACTGACTATAATAAAATAAGTTATTCTCTGCTATATTTAAATATTCTACTTTACAAAAAAATCCATTTAAAGGAGTCCTGGTCAGCTTTCATTAAGGCTATAATTAAACAATCTCACTTACCCTCTCCAATGAATGTAAAACTTCAGATTACTGGGCATGAAGTGTTTTAGAATGAAAGAAGTTATTCTGAGTATTTAGTTGATTCAAGTGAACCGTAGAGGACCTATGCAACGAAGCTGATCATCTGAGAATTTCATTCTGTTTGTTTTTCCTCTGTTCCTGTTTGTTTTTCCAGCCTGAAACATTAAATACCGGTACTCAAGTAAATGTATTTTGTGAAGCATCAATTACAGTACAAAAGAAAACCACTGATTACACATCTCTTCATGTGCATAAAAATGTTTCTTCATCTTGCAATCCCTCTGTAAGTGATTCTTTAAGAAAGATTTACTAAATCCTCTCTGTGGCTGTTTGTCTGATAGATTGGAAATACCTTCTTTCTAATATACGCTTTTCAAAAAAAAAAAAAAAAGAAAAGAAAGAAAAACAAAAGAAACACCCTCAAACCAACCATTTATTATTTGTATTTGTTTGGAATTAAAAGTACACCAAAAAGAAAAGTGCATCTGGCATTCCAATCACCTTTGGCAAAAGTTTAAAGAAACAGCAAATCAAAGCATAGCAAATTAAATCCTGCAGCCACTTCCCCTGTGCCTGAAGAAGCTGCCTTAAAACCATGAACCACGTTCTAAGTAGTGCTGGTTTCGTTTCTGGACATAGATTACTGCCTCCGAATTTTACAGCGCTCATAATAATCCATTTTTAAAGGTGATGCCTTCAAGCTGATTGAAGCACGCTCCCTGGGAAACCCTTGTCCAGCCGAGGTGGGACGGCCGGGGAACGCCCCGGCCGCAGATGCGTAGAGCTGCTGATGCCTCTGCTGAAGCCAAGGGCTCCTGCTCTGCACTACCTGCCTATCATCGTCTCATTCTTCAAAGCTCCTTTGATGTGGGTTTACTAGTTGCTATATGTCGCAATGGAGTTATTGAGTACTGAGAGCCATGAAAATGCCCAGGAAATTTTGCACGCTTTTAAAAACGATACTGGACTACTTGTCGCATAAGTATGGGAAAAAGAAACATATGTCTTAAAGTCTTGAAATAATCAACAATACATATTTGGAAATAAAATAAAATCTATGCCTGTGCTGTTCTTCCACAGCTGAGTTCTGTTTTCATTTTGCTATTGATGGTGAAAAAACAGCAGGAAAGGAAATGCAATCTGCATAATTCCCATTAGTTCTTCATCGTGCAAATATATGCTGATAATAATTCTGTATTGGGTTAGTTTGTGGCTAATCGTCTTTATACTTAGCAGCAGGTGCTGTGGCAGCACTGGAAAAAGTATCATGCATTTTAGAAATTACTGCTGTACAATTTATCTATAATGCACCTTTCTTTTTAATAAAATTATCTTCAACAGTTCATCAATTCAGCTCATGGAGAACACTACTGTGATATTGGCGTGTAGGCTTTATCACTATTTTATTACCAAATGCCACTGATGTATTTTTTTCTTTTTTAATGGGAACATGGACCAGAGAAAAGAGCTGTTGAAATATGTGAATAGAGTCAGTTAGCACCTAGAGGCTGTTCTACATTTTAGATTATGAAGAAGATATAAATGAAACATTTTCAGACCACTCCGAGTGTAAGTTTGGGAAATAAGTTTGCCATTTAAAGCCAGTATGGTGTGGTTAGAAGGTGAGCGTAGGCTTATAGGAGACGGACCTGCTCATTAAGTGCCCTTGGTTGTGAGAATTCTGAAAAGGGAAGATTAGAGGAATTGTAGAAAGTCTCTTCAAAAGAAAGTGGTGCAGTTTAATGAAGTCACAGAGGCTATATGATTTTTTTTGACATAGTCTTACCGGTGCCTGCAATAACTACACTGAAAAAAAAAAACCTCTTGAACCATTGCCAAAAAAATTGAAATTTCAGCGGTTGCCTGAAACGTGACTAATATTTTTCTTCCTAATATGCATTCTGCCGTCACTTCTCCCCAGCTTTCTTCCCTAGGAAGAAGGTAAGAGACAGTTCAAACTCGTACTTAACTGAGGAGAAGCACATCTAACAGTAGAAAAAAAATCAAAGAAAAGAAAATAAAAGTATGAGGAGTGAATAGGAAAGTCTGGATAAAAAAAACTTAAAGAGACTAGAAAATGCAAGTACAGAACAAAATTGAAATAATAGTCAAAGGAAAATAGCCGAAGAATTTTTATAATGAAAAAAAAAAGATGTTGGCTAGAAATGAAGAAGGAAAAAGAATACAGAAAAGCAAAAGTATCCAAAAAAGATAAAGCAAAAAGAGAGGAAAATGAAGAAAAAATTTCAAGAGAATGAAGCAATGAGCTCAGTATGTGTGTTAATTATTTTAAGGACAGTTATCTGCAAAATGTTTTAGTAAAATTTAGTACCTAATTAGTTTCCATTTATAATGATTAGAGATGGACAAATCCAGTTAAGAGCAGGAGAATTTGCCAAAAAAACCCCTCAAAGTGAAAAATCCCAGAAAAAAATTGTTTGATCTTAATCATTGTGAGTTGAAAACGTCAGTTTTCTTTTTTTTAACTTAGACTGAAAAACTGTAAGCCAAAAGTAGATAAAAATGATGTTTTTAGTGAATTTCCAATGAAAATAAAATTACATAGGAAAGTGAAATTGACTGAGTAATCTTAATCTTGCTTAAAATGGTTTTCCACACAAAAAGTAATGGAAAATTGTAACTAGTCATAACAGTTAGGTATATTTACATATAATTTGGTTTGTGAGATGCTATTAGTTGATACCAGTGGCAGGTAGGTTCTTGCCATTTCTGAAAAAAAAACTCAGCCAGGTAATTTTGATACTAAAAATAGATATAGACACCTAAGGTTTGACTCTGCAATTTTAAAATGTAAATTTTTATATAAACTATAATTAAAATGGAACCAGTTTTGTATGAAATGTTCCAGATTTTCTCTGAAGATAGAAACAATATATAAAATTGAATTGCATGTCACCCAAAATTTTGTCTTGAGTTGAAATTTCATCTTACCATACATCATATATATTATGTCTATGTCTTTTTTGAATTTAGCATGGCTTAAAGCTTTTCAGAGGATCACATTGCTTTTAAAATATTTGTGCTGTGTGTATTTGCAGAAAGGTGATAAACCTGTTTTTTTACTTCACTTTAGATAATTTTGCGTTTGGTAGGAGCAATAAGGGTTGATTTTTTTTTTGTTAGTCCTTTGTACAGAAACAGGTAGTATGTTAGTGTTGAGAGACTATATTCCACTACTGGTTGCCTGTAGCTTGTAATGTCTGTCTCTATGTGAACATTTCAGAATTTTTTTTTGCTCTTCTGGTGGTAAAGATATGTTCTTCGAAGTGAGGGAGAAGTGTTAATTTTGGCTTTCATATATTTTTCTGCTCCGAAGAGGAATGGGGTCTCTATACACAAAAGTACAGTGACAGTTTCTATGAATAATGTTAGTCTCCTTGGCAATGCCCGAAAAGAGAGGGAGAGAAGAGAGAGAAGTCATAAAATACGGATTTTACTGCTAATTGGGGCATTTTTCAAATGCTGAATACTTTTTAAATGACTAAAGACAAAATCGCTTCTTCTGATTTCTTTCCCTCACTCCCCTCTTTTGAGCCATAGGTGGATTTTAGTCATGTGTGTTGAAAGGGCAGAAGTATATGCATTCAAGAAACATCCTTATTTAAAAACCGAGAGAGGACTGGTATCAGTGTATCAGATAAACAGGTGTGTGGGCAGTAAAGTCCAAAATCCTTCCACCATTTACCTGCCTACGGGCTGCAGACCCCTCCCAAAGTGAAAGGAAAAGTCAGGATCTGCGAAGGAGAACAGCTTTCCCAGGACTCTGTTAAAAGGTTATAGATATAAATATTATTTAAATCTTTTTTTTCCAGGGAACGGAAATAATACGGGATGTTTGTGGCCGAGCTGGAAAAACTCAGCGTAGACTATAATTAATTTCATACAGCTAATTTAAGTCTCTGCCTTAGTTCAGTTGTAAGTGAATACAGCATTATTGACACATCTCTGAGAAATATGTTTGTAAAATTATACGGTGACTTTTTCCATGTATTTGTCCAGCTGCATTTTTCCATATGTTGCAAGTAATGCAAATAGAAAACGTGCTGTTTGCTTTGGCGACAAGGTGGCTTGATAGACCAGGCATCATCAGGCCTGAATTCTGGTGTTAGCTTTGATTTCTGGACATGAATTTCTGAACGTGTTTCAACATTTGAGTAAAAGCAGATGCGGGCTGGGGCAGAAGGGCGACGCCAGGGGTTGCTTTCCCAGAGCGAGGAGAAAGGACCCCGAGCGCCCCACGGATTCGAGGTCAGCAGGGGGAACTCCTGGGCCT